GAAAAGACCTGACAAGAGATATTTTCGAATTAGTCATGTCCTTATGCTAATAAGTAACTTGCAAAAAAGATTTTTCTTCAACTCGTCTGCAAAAAAACTCCAGCCAAATCTATTTCGACTTCATATGTTAATGATTGAAACGATCCGTGCTAAGGTCCTTCGACTAATGTCTTGAAATAGCGCTTTAAATGAATTTATCGGAAAGGAATAATAATAACTTAAACTGTCGGTTTAATATCTTCTTTGGGCAATGTTATCTTGTCATATTTTCCTCTTACTATTAGGTGATGTGATATTGACTGACCAATGAGAAAAAGGATGTGTCCTCCTATCTGGAAATAGCACAAATCGTAAAACGTTAGTAAATCGAAGTTGGAAAACGTAGAAAAATACGGTTGTCTCTCCCAAAAGATGAAGTGGAAAAGAAATCGAAAAGGAAAGTACCGTTCACTACAGATCAGCGACCATCAGTTTTGCCAAAAACAGTTTTCAGGTTGGATTGTTGTTATCGGGTGGCGTCGCTTTCGAGTTCAGTTGTGGTTGGATCGGGTCGTATTCGGATGGTTGTGTTGCGGGCTTCGGATCGCTATTCTAACAGTCGTGTCAGGGTCGGGTTACATTTTCTTAATCCGTGCAGGTCTCTAATTAAAGTTTAAACTAACGTGAGCAGCGACTTGGTGATAATCATCTATATCACGTAATAATGTTGAATTTAGAATTTCTTTTTGGTACTATCGAGAGGGCGAAAGTCATTCATTGCTTGCGTTTTGAAATTTTTTCTTGCAGCACCAAAATAAAGAAAATAATATTTGAAATATTCAAATGGCATTTGATTATCACCAAGTCACTGTTCCGATTAGTTTAAACTTCAAATACTTAAGGAAACAAAAAACAAAGCGCGATTTGATTAGTGGCTTAACGGTTTTTTGATCGAATAATACACTCAATTGTTCTGATTGACAAGCCCGATGAATCCCAGTCAGTCATAGTCATTCCAGAAAAGCGGAGGAAACTCTGTTTACGAAAAATTTTACGCGTTTAGTAAGTTTTGAATAATAACGCGCAAGAAGGTGGGAGTGTGTAAAAATAAATCGCAGGAACACGCATGTAAAGCGTTTGTTTCTACAGCAACGTGCGTTGGGAAATGCGACAATTTTGAAGCGACTTGTTATGATGCACACATGAATAGCTAGCTCATAGCTACCATCGAAAAGATGTCCAAATGTTCCGCCAACAGGTTTCAGATAAGAACCTAATAATTTAGGTGCATTTGTACTATGGGTTATTATTATGATTACTTTTTGTTATGAAGATCACGTTTTCTTCTATCAATATTTTTCCTTTTTTTCAACATTCATTTTGTTTTTTGATATTTTTAACACCTTTTTAATAGCATCGTTTTGTACTTTCTCACCTATTATTCATACATATCCCGTTCTGTAGTCAAAACCTTTTAGTCGCCTTTGAATTAATAAAACTTGAACAATGGTGACAGTAATAACAACAATCGATTAATCAATATTTATACTTGAAACAACCAAATATCTTCCATCATCAATGCGATTTCTAGGAAAAACCAATTAGTAACTCAAATACAGTTAGAAACATCGAAACAAAAATATTTTAATTTTTATTTAAATGTTGATATGACAATGGTGGAAATACAGCAAACATTAAAAACCATTAGTAAGTCTCGAAATGATTTATGTATACAATATGCAATTAAAACTATTGATACAAAATCAATTGAAATTGATCATAATATTTGTATTAAAATAAAAGGGTTAGAAAATAAATTTGCTTTGAATTTATTAAATAAATTTCAATATTAAATATTAATCAACAATAATGATACAATGCCAATAGGTTGTAATACACAACAAATATTGATACAAAATAATGACAACACATTAGATTTATATAATAAAACATTAGTTATACATTGGGCATATTGGTGGTATTATGGTCTAATACTTGACAGAAGTTGGCTAGAAATATCAGATATATTTCTTCTATTAACACCTAAAAATCTATGTTAACTTTTTTAACGAGTGGACAAGTGGCAATAAATAAATCAGTTGATCCCCAAAATATTGATGATAAATTCTATTCATTAACAACATCGGCCACATCATTATATATAAGATCACAGGTCAAAAATAAACATTAACTGTTCAGTAGGGTTTAGCTTAACAAAGCCAGTTTTTTTTTTAAATTTGAAGAACTTCGAATAAGCACATGTAGAGACATGCGCGACGTACTTTTCCCCATATGTAAGCGTTATTCTCACGGAAAAACCATAAAAAATCAATCAGTTTTTGATGTTGGGCGCCTCAGAAAAACCACTGTAAAACCCTCAAAAACCATCGTAAAACCAATAAATCATAGTGCATTCGAAAGCAGATATATTGGGCTATACAACTATGCATAAATGCCTATAACGATTTTTTTGTCGAAAAATGCTTTTTTTGAGGGGTGGGGGGGCCTTTAAATAATTTTGCTTTGATGAATCAATGGTCAAATATTTATCCATTAACTATGTCAATCTGTTGTAGAAGATACCAGAATGAACAATTACGCTTAACAATACAAAATTCGACTACAAAACAATGGCACTTTCATATACGGAATATATCAATGACTATTATATTGTATTCATTGAAATTATCAATTAAGATAGGACGGTATACAATATGTACTCTATCGGAAAATGAACAGTTAATTATTAACAGTGGTGATGATAAATTATTAAAGGGGGATTATCAGGGACAAAGCAACATACAGTCGGTTAGTGGCTGTTTGAAGCTGATTTCCTTAAAAGAGAAAGTTAACAAAACTTCCTTGGCTCGTTGCAGAAGCCGTAAAAATGGGCAATAAACCAAAGTAAGGCGTCGTCCTCAGAAAGATGTTTCGAGACATCAAGAGGACATCAAATCTATGGATGGAAGTATATAGCTTTGTATACTCTTTGAAGTTAGCAGGATGAGAATGTTTGAAAGCTCTAGATAAAGTCGGAATCTGCTACTTTGACATCCCTGAAAACATGTAATAAACGTAACTTACCGGACGTTAGAAATAAAACCAGAAAAGATTCTCTGTTCTTTGCCTACTCGCTAAGAAAATATTACCTTGATTCAACTTAAACTCTCATACGAAAAAAATTATTTTTCTTGCCAGCAAAGTTTTCAAAAACTGTAGTATTAGGAAGATAGTTGTGAATCTCTTCAAGTAAAGGATATTCAGGTAGATTTGGCTTTTCGAAACGTTTCTTGAAATAACGTAAACTTACTTTCAGGGAAAAAAGTATTTAGTAAAAACTTTAAGAGTTTCTCGTCTGTTCTTACCGGACTGAAAGAACAAACAAAATCAAACTGGAAATCTGATCTTCTGCTTGTTGTTTCCGTATTATTCTCGTTGCTTGGCTTCTTGTTGATATTAGTGTTTTCAGCTATAGTTCAACGTATAGACAAGTGGGTTTGATAAAAACAGACATTAGAAATGTGTACATGCGCTCCATAAAATGACTATTCTCGCAAAAAGTCTCTCTTCGTCTGTTCAGTTTCTTCGAAAATAAAGTACAAGAAAGCGATCTGCCACAACATGCATGATGACCATTGTTTCCATGAGACACGTTAATAGAAGGAAAGGAAAAGAAACAAAAACAAATCCTTCCCAATCCGGGAATCGAACCCGGGCCGCCGCCGTGAAAGGGCGGAATCCTAACCACTAGACCAATTGGGACACGAGTATTGTTCTGATAGAAGCGTCCCATGACGATTTCATGCGTGTCATGACTCTTCCGCGAACGGGGTTTTCAACGAAACGACTTTTCCTTGAATAGAACTGTGGTGGCACTAAGCAGCGTGAGAGTGAGTGTAAAAAGAATTTCGTTCGCGGACGGGTGAATTTGAGGAATAAGTTCGCTGAAATACCGAAAGACTAAGTAGTGTAAGATCTCTGGTAAATGTAACAAGTCTAGGAAGTCACGTGGCTAAAACAGTGTTTAGACGGATTTTATTAATAAACTTTAACACATGCTGTTCACTGATTCCAATAGTGAAACGAGTTTGTAGGTTCTGTTGTTCCATTATATAATTGATTTGGCTGATAATTGGTAATAGAAGGGGCAGATTTACTCATTGATAGACCAAACGACCTTTCCATACGTTTTAACAGGTCTATTTTCTTATCACCTTCTAAAACTGGAAGAGGTAATGAATCAGGTAAATTGGAAAATGTGATTGATCCAGCCAGCGTGTAGTCCATTTGATCATCATCTTCCATGAGATTTTCTAACTGACTATTTGTGCACATCTCATACCATACGGTTAATCGCGTTTGAGATTGTTTAGGATAGATGACACGATGAATACCAGCTTTTAAATGATTATTTGTTGCTTTGACAGCCGCTTCACCTAACCATATGACACCAATATGCTGTTGCGATAAAAGCGTGTTCACAGGACCATCGATCCATTTATTTTCTACGAGATTTTTGAGTTGTAGTCCCTCACATGTCGATAAAAAACTAATTGATAAAAGCCCAGGATCAAAATGTGGTACACAATTGACTTCTTCTACACTGTATCCAACAAAGGGTGTCTCTTTCAAATCATTTTTCTTATTTAAATAATAAACAACATCTAACATACCAGTTGACTCTGGAAGATTTGCTTGTTGTCGAAGTTCAATAGATGATTTTTTAAATACCGATTTTTCAAGTAAATAAATTAATTGTTTTGTTAGTCTATCTAAGAAATTTGATAATTTGTGTAATACTTGTGTTACTTCATCATTTGGCATTGACATTTCATTTAAATGATCACCTGTTAATAATTTTATATTTTCTTTATGATCAACACGTGAGTAACCATAATGATTGATTAATGCATAATTTTCTTTATATGTTTGATCACGATTGAAAAATGTTGTTAATAATGAATTTAGAGCTGTTGCATTTTGAGTAAGTTCGAACGGTAAATGAACAAAACACCAACCATTCATTTCAAATTCTTTTTGTATACGATTAATTTCATTTGTATCATTTTTAAAAATTTTATTCAAATCAATTAAATTTTGTCCATTAAAAAATTGTTGTGATTGTTGTAGAACGTCATTCTTGGACGATCTTACCACGTTTGAATGTAAATGATTAAAACTGGTATTTGATATTTTGAAATTAGCCATTTTCGTTTCTCAATGACGTACAAATAAATACTATGCTAACATGAAATACATCTGTTTTATATATGCGTTATTGCTCAATCATCCGTAAGATAATATGACATTGAAAAAGAGAAAGTGATTCATAACTCTAGACAGTTTTGCGTCACTCCTTTTAAGTGACGTGGCATCGTGGACATTTCCGACAAAATTTTTAAATGTTGCTTTTTTAAAATCAAATCGCCAATCTTTTAATATTGTCGTTTATAAAAGAAATTTGGTAAGACGCACGTAATTCAAAGTTCATACCTATTTGATATTTGATCAAATCACACATCGTTGGAAAGAGGAGGATGAGCTGAACAAAGAATAACGTGGTTTCAGCCTTCCTAGACCAAGTTTTCTAAAAATTGAAAACATTTTGAGAGCTTGAAAAACCGGAAAACTGTCTCTCTCCGAAAAATGCCTTCATTTTTCTATGTTTCGGTTTAAAGCTCTGGAAGATTTAATTCTGATTCAGTATCAAAATTGAATTTAAAAATGTATTTTACGAGCTCGCAGCCTAGAATTTGGCCTAAAAGAAAACTGATGTTACGGAGGGTACAACAACCGGGATCTCATTTCGAAAAGCTATCATTTTTTGTTTGAGAGTATGGAACCCGGTGACATATGCCATTCGAACTGCCTTGATTCATACAACAAAAGCATAACTCTCGATTTTTGAAATTTCTCTCCATTGCTGAAAAAGTTTTTCTAAATCAGAAGCGAAGAAATTGGATTTGTACCCGTAATTTTCAATTTTCTCCAGTAGAACTCACTTTTTATGCAAGAACTCACCGAGTCGCCAAAGGCATTTTAGCCGAACCCATAAATCGCAGAATGGATTATGATGGTACAGCTGTTGTACCCTAAGAGTAATCAAATCGCGCTTTGCTTTTTGTTTTACAAGCAGCAATAGCTTGTACTGGCAGTGAAAAAAAAGAAATGTTTGCAACGTATTTTGAAAACGATGTGTACTCTCTAAAAAAAAATGGTTCCTAACGAAACCCTTTTCTGCTTGAGGTTTCGAATTCGTTTCAAATGTAGAAACCTTTTGGTCTACGAAACCTAAAATGGTTTGGCTAAAACCTATTAAACTCTAAATGGTTCT